AAAAGCTTTTTTCCTGAGGTACACAGCCTCACAGCAACACACAAGCCACTACAGTATGACAAACCGACAGATGAGTGGTGGAAAAAGCAAAAATAATGTGTAAAAAAGAGAGAGAGAAAAAAAAGATGTGCTAAATCATCATCAATAGCATTTCTATGCTTCTTTATGTAACATTTTTACTAAGGGCAAACATTTTAATTTGCATTAAACACAGTAAACAGTTATTCATGGGGTACCCAAAATTACTGGAAGAAAATCAGTTATGAGAGGGTATAGTGGTTCTCTAGTGCTGCTGTAACAGAAACACCCAAATGAAGGACTTTAATGAACAGGATTCATTCTCCTACAGTTTAGAAGGCTAGAACTCTGAGTTCAAAGTGTCAGCTCCAGGGGCTGGGTGAAAGCCCCCTGACCTTGGCCTTTAGCTCTGCCTCTTTCACTGAAGCCTCCACTGCGTCCACTGAAGCTGGAGGCTTCTCTTAACTCAGACAGCTGCTGGCTGCTGAGGCTGACGAACCCAAGGTCAACAAGTAAAATGGCACAGTCCCAAAATTATCAAGCAACATGGCAGGCCACTAATTTAAGTCCATTAACAGTCCCAAGATCAGCAGACAATATGGCAGGCCATTGAGATGAAAACTCGGCCAAATATAGGATCCAGATGTGCCAAAAGTTCAAGACTTTCCTCAAAGCTGCTGCTTATATGCTGGAAGCAGACCACATCCCTAAGGCAGCTACTCAGCTGCTCACAGTAGATTCCACCATGGAGTTGATTACATTCTCATCATGGGGAATACTACATCCAGCTTCCCAGCCACTCAAAACCAGGCCCAGTAAAGTTGACACATAACCTTAACTACCACAGAGGGATAAAGCATAAAAAAAAAAAAAAAAAAAAATATGGAAAAAACAAAGTGACATATAGAAACTGTATGAGGGCAGGATCCCCTTCTCATTGTATCAGGTGTTTGCAATTTTAGGGTCACTTAGTAGCTCTTGGAGATAATGAGTTATCCAGTTCCTAACAGTCCTCCATCCACTTGAGGAAGCTCCTCTCCTGGGAAAATTTGTTTTTGAATAGGTAATTCATGCACATGTACAAAATATTTACTATGACACAGAAATGTCTCTGCCTCTCTGATCCACAACAAACTACTTGTCCTTCACAGAAACAAGCACTGTCACTAAAGTCTTCTGTTTTGTTTCAGAGATATTCTATGCATTTACGCACATTTATGTTATTTTTAGTTTTTCAATCCATGTACTAATGATAGCATATCTTACATGTTTGCATCTTACATGCTGCTTGCATCTTGCTTTCTTTTACTTAACAACATGCATTGGAAGTCATTCAATACAGCAGCCTCATCCTTTATAAAATAATTTAATACATGCAAAATTATATATACATAAATTATGAAGCATAGTGTTAAAATGTTCATCCATAAATCAACTACTCAACTTAAAAACTGTAACATTAACATGACTTAATTTATCATGTGCTACTCCCTGTTGAGGGAGCTGTGGTGGTACAGTGGTTAAGGCTTTCAGCTGCTAACCAAAAAGTTGGTGCTTAGAACTCATCAGCTGCCCTGCAGGAGAAAGATAAAGCAGTCTGTTTCTGTAAAGATTTATAGCCTTGGAAATCCTATGGGTAGTTCTACTCTGCCCTATTGGGTCTCTGTGCGTTTTGTTTATCTGTAGATACACACTTGGGTTGCTTCCACCTTTTGGGTGTTGGGAATAATGCTGCTATGAACATTGGTGTGCAGATGTCTGTTTGAGTCCCTTCTTTAAAATGGTTTGGGTATATCTAAGAGTGGAACTGCTGGATCACATGGTAATTTTATGTTTAACATTTTGAGGAACTGCCAAACTGTTTTCCACAATGGATGAGGGTTCCAATCTCTCCACACTTTCACCAACACTTGGTATTTTCCATTTTTCTGATAATGGCCATTCTAATGGATATGACTCATGGTGATCCCTTTGTGTGCAAAGTAGGCCTGCACTTCACTTTCAGATGCAGATCACCAGGCCTTTCTTCTGAGGTGCTTCTGGGTGGATTCGAACAGCCAACCTTTCAGTTACTTATGTAGCTTTATATCCTATTTGACTTAAGGTTGTAACATGGCAATCATCCAATGTCATCAGAAACATATGAAATTACATTATCATTCCATATTGAAAATATGTTCACCTGTTGTTCTAGGATTATATTCTTCTCTCGCTCTGCATTGAGAACCATTCTCTTTGTATACTCCAGTTGCTTCTCTAGAAGAGTACAGCGAGACTGGGCTGAAGTTAACTGTATACTTATATCTATAAAAAAAGACAAAATAATGACTCAATTAGATGAGGATCACATAGAGTAGCGAATGGACTATTGTGATAAATGTATTATGTGAATTCAATCAAGAGCTAACAGTTCAATGCTTTTTTAGGGAGCTCTGGTAGCGTAGTGCCTAAGGCATCTGACTGCTAACCAGAAGGCTGGCAGTTCAAACCCACCAACCAGCCACTCCTTGGAAGGAAGGTTGGGCAATCTACTTCCATAGTGATACAGCCTCGGAAACCCAAGGAGGGGCCACTATGAGTTGGACCTGACTCCACAGTAGTGGTTGTTTTTTAGTCTAAGTACTGATTCTCCTTGAGTTAGGAAAAATGTATTTCATGAGTGTTTCATTAATTATAAATAACTGGTTTACACTGTCTTCCCCTAAAGACCCAGAGGGCATATTTCTGAAAGTAGAAGATTGGTGTATGGGATGATATAGTCTGATTATTACTGGAAAATGACATCATCTGGAAAAACAGAGGACCTATGTAGTCTCTTCCCTATCATCACATTGCTGCACTTTCGGGAAACTCAGGTATACACATTCTACCATTCCCACTTTCTTCTGCTCCTGACTACTTACAGCACAGTCAATTCCCTAAAACATAAGCAATCCCTTTCTAAGCCTTTGACTTTTCACTTTGTTAAGTGCTTTCTTCATTCTATTTCTATCTGTATGCCAAAACACAAACTTAACCCTTGTTTATGAAGGTGAATGCAGTGTCACAGTAAAAAAAAAAAAAGCTGTAAGTTTTGGAGTGAAAATATATACAATAATGTCCTAAATCCCTAAAAGTCTTGTGTGCAAATGTCTTTTCATAATTTTCACAGAAACCTCTACCTATTGCCCGTTCTCAAATTAAATAAAACTATTTTTATGGTTTTGGTATTATTTACTAGCGTCATTTTACATTTTCAAAATAAAATAGCTCTAACTGAAATGTAAAGCATTCTAGTTACATTATGGATTAAACTGGGTTTTGTTGGTTATTCTTAAAATATTCCAATTTCTAAATACAACTTTTCTAAGAACTTAACTTTTCCTTCAATCTCCAGAATATATCAACTGCCCCTAAATATCGAAATGTCTGAGAACAAGGCTTCAAGGTCTGCATATTAGAAAGATATTTGTGTGTGGACTGGAAATACTATTTTCAAATTATAAACTTTAGTAACCTCTTCATGTCTGGGAACGACTGCATGTTCTTACCTTTTTTCTGCTTTATCAGTTCCTGGTGTGCCAGATTGCGTTCATTTGTTTCATTTTCCAAAGCCTTTTTATACTGTGCAGCCTCTTTGGACAGTATGTTCAGGTTATCTTCAGCTTGTGTTCTTTCTAGCTCTAAACGATGAATCTTGTCCTGAAGCGTTTTTAGAGCTAAGATAAGAGCTGTTGAAAAAAAGAAAATTGCTTGAGGTTTTAAGTTGGAGTTTTTGAGCACTGACAATCACAGCAACATGTAAAAATAAGCAGAATATTTTTGTCAATGTGCCAGAAAAGTGTACAAAATAAAAAAAATTACTGAAACTCTAAAGAGGGACAAAGTTTCTCTAATATATCTTTAAAAACAATTTATGTATGATCATACTTAGTGATTCTCTATGGCTGAAAAGCTAATAACCACAAACTTCTTGTTTTTAGGTGCCGTCAGGTTGGTTCCAACTCATAATGATCCTACTATATACAACAGAACCTAATGCCGCCTGGTTCTGCACCATCCTCAATTGTTGCAGCCACTGTGCCATTCCATCTCATTGAGGGTCTTCCTCTTTTTCACTGAGCAGAGGGTCATGCAGGGTAAAGTCTCCAGGGACTGGTCTCTCCTGATACGTCCAAAGCACGTAAGAAGTCATCTCACCACCCTTGCTTCTAAGGAGCTTTCTGGTTGTACTTCTTCTGAGAAAGATTCGTCCATTCTTCTGGTAGCCCATGGTATATTTAATAATCTTTACGAACATCATAATTCAAAGGCATCAATTCTTCTTCAGGCTTTCTTATTTAATGTCCAGCTTTCACATGCATATGAGGTAAATGAAAAATATAGCTCGGGTCAAGTGCACCTTAGTCCTAATGGTCACATCTTTGGTTTTTAACACTTTAAAGAGGTCTTTTACAGCAGATTTGCCTAATTCGGTATGTTGTTTGATTTCTAACCACAATCTTAAATTAAAAAATAAGTTTTCAAATCTCAAATATCTCAAATCTCAGAAGAATATAAATTCTGGGGGTATAAAAGTCTGGGTATGGATAAAGGAAGTTAAAATATAGTATATATTCCTTAGGCACACTGGTGGCACAGTGGTTAAAGTGCTCATCTACGAAGAGAAATGTCAGCAGTTTGAACTAACCAGCCACCCTTAGGCAAAAGATGTGGCAGTCTGTTTTCATAAAGATTTACTGCCTTGGAAACACTATAGGGCAATTCAATTACGTCCCATAGGACCACTATGAGTTGGAATCAGTGGCAGTGGTTTGGTGTTTTATTTGGTGTCTGGTACTTAACATGGAAATTTAAGTGTAAAGTTAAAGGTTTTTTTATTGTTTAGTTGTTCAAGATACAGTGTTAACAATCAGGATCTATGAGGTAAAACATAGCTCTTCCATTAAAAAAAATATATATAGTTTCATTGTTTACCTGATTTTTATTCAGGTATATTGGAATCTTCTTAGTTCAGATAAGTTCATAGCTATAAAATTTTCAAATATTATTTTATACTTTCTATTAAGTTGTAACTTCATTGTTAAGCTTTCAAACTAGAGATGAATGGAATACAAATGATTTTTTAGGTTAACTTTCACATAGTTTATAGTTAATTAAAAAGAGGTTTGCTAGAGATTATCATTAGGTTTTTACAAGTGAGATAAAGACATGAAACTTATGGTTCTTTATATGATATTTAATGAATTCCTAGGTGGCACAAATGGTTAAGGGAGCTCTGGTAGCATAGTGCCTAAGGCACTTGACTGCTAACCAGTAGGTTGGTGGTTCAAACCCACCAGCCACTCCTCAATTTATGGTTCTTTATATGATATTTAATGAATTCCTAGGTGGCACAAATGGTTAAGGGAGCTCTGGTAGCGTAGTGCCTAAGGCACTTGACTGCTAACCAGAAGGTTGGTGGTTCAAACCCATCAGCCACTCCTCAGAAGGAAAGTTGGGCAATATACTTCCATAGTGATACCGCCTCAGAAATCCAAGGAGGGGTCGCCATGAGTCGGGTCTGACTCGATGGCACATAACAACAGCAACACAAATGGTTGATGTGCTTGGCTGCTAACTGAAAGGTTGGCAGTTTGAGTCTACCCAGAGACACCCTGGGAGAAAGGCATTGATGATCTCCTTTCATGAATCAGCCACTGAAGACCCTATGAAGCACACTTCTACTCAGACACACAGGGCTGCCATGACAGAGCTCAACTTGATGACAACTGAGTTATGTGGTCTCTGGCTCACTGATTTCGGTGATGATTTTTTTTATCATTATTTTACTCCATAAAGCTTGTCTATATATCAATGGCAACCTTTAGTATAGAATATTAAAAAATAACATGATAATCAGCATCTTAGAAAGTAACTTGTATGGTATATAATGTATGCTTGGAGTCATGAATATTTCACTAATTCAATTTGAAGACCTTCCTAAATTTACGTTTAAAAAGTTACAATACTTTTATTCTGTAGTTACTCTGATACACTGCCTTTCTAAGAGGTTTTTAAGGATGATTTTGGCTATGTGTAAATTTTGGATCTAACCCTTGAATAAGCCACAGCTTCACTAACGTAATCTGAGAAGCTGGACTATATGAAGAAGACCATGGGATTAGGATTGGAGGAAGGCTCATTAACAACCTGAGATATGCAGATGACACAACTCTGCTTGCTGAAAGTGAGGATGACCTGGAGCACTTAGTGATGAAGACTAAGGACTACAGTTTGCAGTATGGATTACAACTCAATATAAAGAAAACAAAACTCCTAACAAATGGACCAATAAGCAGCATCACGATGAATGGAGAAAAGACTGAAGTTGTCAAAGACTTCATATTACTTGGTTCTATAATCAAGGCTGATGGAAGCAGCAGTAAAGGCATCAAAAGACGCATTTCATTGGGCAAATCTGCTGCAAAAGACCTCTTTCAAGTGCTGAAGAGCAAAGATATCTCCTTGAAGACTCAGATATGCCTAACTCAAGCCATGGTTTTTTAATCACCTCATATGCACGCAAGAGCTGGACAATGAATAAGAAAGACCAGAGTTGATGCTTTTGAGTTGTGGTGTTGGCAAAAAATGCTTGAAAGTACCATGGACTGCCTGAAGAACTAACAAATCTGTCCTGGAAGAAGTGAAGCTGGAATATTCTTTGAAAGTGAGAATGGCCAGGCTTCGTGTCACCTACTTTGGTCATGTTGTCAAAAAGGGCCATTTTCTGGAGAAGGATGTCATGCTTGGTAAAGTGGAGGGTCAATGAAAGAGGCGAAGGCCCTGAACAAGATGGAATGACATGGTGGCTCAAGTATAGTAGGGATTGTGAGGCTGGCACAAGCCTGGGCAGTGTTTTGTTCTGTTGTACATAACGTCACTTTGAGTCAGAGACGACTCAATGGCACCTAACAACCACCACCACTAATGTACGTGCATTCTAAACATTTAGTTTGAACGAACGAACGAATGAACGAACCACGGCTATGGAGTCAGACTCGACTCACAGCAATGCCTCCTTGGGTTTCCGAGGCAGTATCACTACAGAAATAGATTGCCCAACCTTCCTTCTGAGGAGTGGCTGGTGGGTTTGAACCGCCAGCCTTCTGGTTAGCAGGCAAATGCCTTAGGCACTATGCCACCAGAGCTCCCAAACATCTAGATTAGAAGGATTTAAAATCTGACCTTTATTCTTCAAAGGATATTTTCCTGTTATGTAATGGTGTTTTTTATGATAAACCTGTGACGTATGTCCCACTGGTTATATTAATTTTTATTTTACAGCTGAAGAAGCCAAAGTAAAACATGTTCAATGTCTTGTCTAAGTTCATAGAAACATTTAGCAACAGAATCATAATTCAGAGTTTCATTAGTTAAATATGCAATCGTGTTGCTTATTTTCTATACAACAATGAAACATTTTATATGTTTAATAGAAAAAATATGTTTTATACATTCCCCTTATTTTATATTATCATTACCTTGGCTATTTGGACTATGAAACATTTTAGGAGAGGTAACTTCTACGTTCACAGGGTGGCAATTCTGAGATGTTTCATGTTGGGAGAATGATGGAACAAACCCTCTTTCTGGAGGTTTAAGATAGCTTCCGACTATACTGTCTATTAATTCAGAATCCATTTCCTGTAGAGAATAAAAGGATGATATAGTATAGCATCATTTTTTTCCTGAGTGACAAAAACATCCAAAAGTAAGGTAAAATTTAAACATAAATATATAAGCATATTATTATGTGGAGTTTTATCTGTATGAAATTAATGAAGACACAATGATCACAAATTCAACTATAATAAGCTTAGCAAAAAAAGAAAAAGAATGAAAAACAATGATATGCTGTATGGGCAATTCTGTCTGCTTTCTAATGAACATATGCTTACAGTGGCCAAGACAGGGGTGATGTGAATGTGTTAGTTTCTCAGCTGATCATCGGTCCTATGTACCTCTCATAGTCTGAGCACCTCTCCACCAAGAGTATGATTACAGGATTTTAAAAGAAAGTACATATTCTAAAAGGCAATACAGCTTTTAAACATAAGCCAACCATATAATTGGATTCTCTAATATTGACTATTGAACCACCTTCCGAAGTACTTTTCAAGGGTAATTTTGGCTATGTGCAATTTCTGAATCTAATTCTTGAGTAAGACACAGCTAGAAGGATTTCAAAGCTGAAGAACTGAAAGTAGTCTTATTTTTACCTTTTTTTTTTTTTTTGACTGCTAACCAGAAGGCTGGTGGTTCAAACCTGCCAGCCACTCTTTGGAAAGAAGACTGAGTTATCTACTTCTGTAGAGATACCGCCTTGGAAACCCAAGGAGGGGTCACTATGAGTCAGGACCGACTTGATGGCAGTGAGTTTTTTCATTTTTAGAGAGCCCTCTTAACCATCCAAGTAGGTAACTTTTTGCCTAACTTTTCCAAATCATTTTATTTAAATCCTTCTGAAATGCATTCTATTTAACAGATTCTGCTCAATGTTAATTAATTCATAATTATATATGAGAAGAAACAGTAATCAGTAGTATTTGTGCATTCATACATACACACATTCATGGGCAGATTTTGTCTGTGGACTTCAGAATTTCACAGAAGGCACAATTTGAAACAAGGAAGCTTTTTTTTTTTTTTTAAAAAAGCAAATCCAAGAATGTCATTACACAATTAGCCTATTTTAACTTTTGAGAATTGCAAATATTCTGTGATTTCACTACCTTTCCAATTCACAAAGCAAAGGTGGACAGTTCCTATGACTTTATTTCCTGAAAGGCCCAGGACACACTTCACAGGATTTTCTACTTTAGCCATTGCCATGACTGGCTATCTTCCAGGACATTCTGTCTGAAAGGTCTGAAACATGCTTAGAGACCTCAGAGGTTATATGGCCTAGGAAGTCTCACTAGAATACTTGCCCTTTGCTTTTGGGAGGCAACTATTATCTTCTATTGTCATTAGTACCAGCTATCATTTACTGACTAGGTCTCCAACCACTCAGACACTCTCTGCTCCCCATGGGAAACTGCATCTATTTAAGTTGTTCTTCCCTCAAAAAACAAGAAAGCAAAGTTAGTCACAGCTGGTTTACAATGCCAGCTGCTAACCAAAAGGTTGGTAGTTCAAACCCACCAGCTGCTCCGTGCGTGGGAGAAAGATGAGGCAGTCTGCTTCCGTAAAGATTTACAGCCTTGGAAACCCTATGTGCCATTTCTACTCTGTCCTAAAGGGTCACCATGAGTTGGAATTGACTTGATGGCATTTAGCTTTCTTGGTTTGGTTTAAAATGAAGTGGAGGTTGGGACCCAAAGTACAGAAGGTCTTCAGAGAAAGGTAGGAGGTTGAAGCTATCCTAAGAGTAACTGTAGCTATTTAAGGTATCTGACTCATTTTTCAGCTCCTGTTGGTTTCTCCAAAAATGTAAAAAGAATGAAATTTTGGCATCAGCAGTTATAGACTAAAGAGAATCCTGGTGGTGCAGTGGTTAAAATGCTTGGCTCCTAACCGAAAAGGCTGATGATTTGACTCCACTGGCCGCTCCACAGTAGAAATATGTGTCACTCTGCTTCCGTAAAGATTACAGCCTTGGAAACTCTATGGGCAGTTCTACACTGACCTATAGGGTCACATTAGTTGGAACTGACATGATGGCAATGGGTTGTTTTGGTTTATTAACAGACTGAAATCTTTGGGAGTGCTCTGCTTCCTCTGTGCCAAACATAATACTATTTTATACATTAGATTTTGACTAATTCAAAAACTGGTTCAAATGTGAGGTTTTTAATGTATGTAAAATAAGTACTCAGAAGATGCCGAGAGGTTAAAAATTAAAGTTTACTTTAAATTAAATGTGTAAACATATACTAAAGTAGGTATGAGCAGAATAACAACTTATTGGTTGGATGAAAATAAGATAAAGAAAAGACAGGAAACCCATAAAGTAATGAGAAAAGACAAGCTGTGCTGTGACACAGAGCTCAGGGATTCGGGTTGCAACAGGGATCCGAACTCAACCTTTACATTCTGGGCATGTGTTATAAACTGATGAGTAAGCCCACTGGAAGTCTAATTAAACCTCATTCTGAAAGAAGAAGAAACAAGTACAAAAAGCTGGATCCAGAATCAAAGCCTCACTTGGCAGAAGAGAGGAGGCGTGATTCTGAGTATGGTGGTGCTGATTCTAACTCATCTCCAACACAGGCCCACAGACTTATACATGGGTCCTGGGAAGAAAGAGGGCTGGAAGTGAAAACTGAGAAATGTTCCTATAGCATCTCTACAAAAGATGGAGGCACTAGCTGCCCTGCTTTGTATTAGATGGTATATTCCAACAGAGAGAGGAGCTGCCATTTGTCTCAGTTTGCTAGAGACCACAAACTGTTTTGGTCTTTTGAGGGTTCTGGTATTGTTTTTCCCTAAGAGAGAAAGAGAGCAGCTAGAAAGGGCACATTTTCCTCCAAGCATTCTGGTATGTCTGTTATGGGGCCTAGCTGTAGGTAACTGAAAATACCTCAGGAATTCTTGTAGAGCATTTTACAGGTATCTATATGCAAGTAGGGGCAAAAGGCTATAAATGTGGGCCTCATTTGTTATAGCCTGATAAAGCCTAGGGAAACTCTAGTTATGCCCTGAACCATTCCTGACAGTTTATAAACCACTAGGGGAATTATATGCTGTCTTACGGTCTACAAAATCAAGATACATTAATTGGCTGCAACTAAGGAGCCACTACATAAACAATAGCCCTGAAAAAGAATGTGCTAGACACAAATATTTTAAAACATTTTCTTCTTCTTGTGCACTTGTTAACTTGTTCTTGAGTGAAGCACTTGTTTCAAATGGTTCTTTTTAACAACCATTGTCTTTTCCTGTTGAGGGCTGATGTATCATCATCTTCGCATAATCATATAGGACTATCAAGGAAATGGCATTAGGAGGCAACCAGAGATACTTATAGGAGGTTCTTGGAATAGGGGAATCTCTGTTCCTTATACTGCGAATTCTTCCAAGTTTGGATTTTCCCTTAGAGAAACTGGAGAAAGATAGATCAACAGCACTGTTGCTTTTATCTGTTTGTATGTTAAGAGCAAACACAATTAACAGTTTAGCTAACCCCATCTTATTTTTAATGTTTAGTACAATTATAACTGAGTGGGCTAATTTGTAGTTCAAGCCTTTGTCTTACAGATACTAAGATATTAAACTAAACCAAACAATACTTAAAAGGGTAAGATAATGATAAAAAAACAAACTGGTCAATGGAAACTAGAAAATAAAAGAACCTATAAAAAGAATCAAAGGAAAGTACTCAACAAAAGGTGTTAGAAAAATTGGGAAAAAATACAATTAAATTTTTATCTCACTCCATGTACATCTTCCTGGATTATATGCTCAGCATAAGGATTGAAGAAGTATGGTGAAAGGATATAATCCTGACACACTCCCTTCTTGATTTTAAAGCATGCAGTATCCCTTGTTCTGTTCAAATGACAGCCTCTTGGTCTACTTTGGTCATGCTGTCAGAAGGGACCAATTCCTGGAGAACGATATCATGCTTGATAAAGTGAAGGGTCAGTGAAAAAGGAGAAGGCCCTCAACAAGATGGATTGACACAGTGGCTGCAACGATGGGCTCAGGATTGTGAGGCTGATGCAGGAGCAGGCTGGGTTTCATTCTGTTGTACATAGGATTGCTATGAGTCTGAGCCGACTTGACAGTACCAACAACAAACAACCACTACCACCATATATATCAGTATAAATTTCAGATACAGAACAGATTCAAATGAAAAATAAAATTTTAAAAATCTAGAAAAACATCAGTGAATTGTTAACTGCTCTTAGAATGGATATTTTATGTTCAAAAACAAAGGAGAAAATATAAAGAATAAAATTACATTAAAATCAATGCTACAACAGGCTCCAGATTTAGTCTACTGCACCATACAAGCAGAAGCACCTCCTTGAGGTCCAGGTTCTGGGTCATGAGGAAGTAAAAGGTGTTCTCAAAGTAAATAGAGTTCAAGGCCCTATTTAGCCCTATGAATAGTATATTCTCACTATTTACAGCCTCATATGTATCCCTTCTGCTAATATTTAGACACTAACCACTAATGTCAAAGGTGAAGAAATTGAAGATTTTTACCAAAGTCTGCAGTCTGAAATTGATCAAACATGTAATCAAGATGCATTGATAATAACTGGTGATTGGAATGCAAAAGTTGGGATGCAAAGAAGGATTAGTAGTTGGAAAATATGGCCTTGGTGATAGAAATGACATCAGAGATCACATAGAATTGTTTAAGACCAACAACTTACTCATTGCAAATACCTTTTCTCAACAACATAAATGATGACTATACAAATAGACCTCACCATCACCAGAAGGAAGGGATACATAGAATTACTGTACCAAAAAGAACTGGTCAATGTTCAACCATTTCAGGAGGTAGCATATAATCAAGAACCAATGATACTGAAGGAAGAAGTCCAAGCTGTACTCAAGGCTTTGGTGAAAAAAAAGGCTCCAGGAATTGACAGAATACCAACTGAGATGTTTCAACAAATGGATACAATGCTGGAAGTGCTCACTTGTCTATGCTATTTGGAAGACAGGAACCTGGCCAAACGA